ATGCCTATCCGGCTTAATTTGTACAGGAGACGCTGATGTGGTACACTGTCGAATGCCTTCTTAAAGTCGACGTAGACTGCGTGCACTGCATTGTCGCCATCGACTGCCCGGGTCCAGCGGTGTAAACAATAAAGTAGATTTGTCACGCATGATCTGCCTCCACGAAATCCGTGCTGGGCATCGCATAGCAGATTATGCTCTTCCAGGAAGTGCATTATTTCTCGCTTAATTATTTTTTCCATAATTTTGCAGCAAATTGAAGTAAGGCTGATTGGTCTGTAGTTGTTTGCAAAGACCTTGCTGCCGCCTTTATAAATTGGCGTGATCCGCGCGGATTTACAATCGGCGGGCAAGTAGCCTGCTTCGAATGAAGCTTGGAAGAGCATGGACAGCGGTTTAGATACTTCTCCAGCAAGCTCCTTCAACAATTTCGGCGGTATGTCATCCGGCCCAGGTGATTTGGACTCATTCGGCGTCAACAGTACTTTGCGAACAATAGCTTCGGCGAAAGAGACGTGCTCGATTGTTGGCCCGTCCACTATGTCACAGTCGGGAGGGAGAAATGTGCTCTCCTTCGTAAAGATGGACTAAAAAAATGTGAAAGTTGCTCTGCCTTTTCTCCGTCTTCACTGAGTTCTAGGTCGTCACTAGTTTTCAGTAACGGGATTGGATCTCTGTTTCGTGTGCTTCTTCTTATGTAACCATAGAATAACTTCGGATTTTCTGCGGCTCGATTCAGTAGGTCTTTCTCGAAAGTACGCCGCGTCCCGAGGAGTAACCTCCTAACTAGGTTCCTCTGTGCTTTGTACGCATTTATCGACACAGAGCTCCTATCCGAGAGGGATTTTCTCCATAACCTCCGCTTTTTATTCACTTCTTTTTTAATGCTTGTGTTAGCCACGAGGGTCTGCTGTTTAGTTTCTTCCGTGAAGTAGGACAGTGGTCTCTGAGTAGAACGTGCAGTAACCCAATAAACCGGTCCCAATCCTTGATTATATCACCGGAAAAAGCTGGTTCCCAGTTTATGGAATTTAGTTCAGCTTTCATTTGGGCAAAGTCACCGCGCCAAATGTTCCTTCTAACCCTGGTGGCCTGTTTGGGCAGAGAAAAAATGGAGTACTCCCACAACAGTACGACGTGGTCGCTTCGACCTAGGGGCGGGGGGGGGAAGGTAGACATTGCACCTCATCAATGCTGTCCAGTGACTTCGTAAGGATCAGATCCAGACAGTTTGACTGTTGCCCTTCGCGCACCCTCGTCGGAAAAGAGACGTGCTGAGTGAGAAATAACTTGAGGGTCATGTCCAGCAAACGTCGGTCGAAAGCATGGTCTGGACCAGATGCATAAGCTGAACTCCAGTCGATAAGAGGTGCGTTGAAGTCCCCCATAATTAAAACGTCAGACCGGATAGAGAATCTTTCCAGGTCCTCAATCAGACGGGCGTCCGCCGTGGGATCATTTCTCAGCGGTCGGCCTTAGTCAGAAATCTCAGTGAGCCTTTCTGTGTGTGCTGGTTTATGTAAAAAACCCGTAAAGGTGAAGGTGATTTGACAATTAGTAACTAAAACTGCAGGGGCCATTGAACGCAAACGTAAGGGGACGTGTGTATATGTTAAAACACTAACACCATTGCTTCAGATTCACATAATGATGCACACTAAAACTCTCGAAACATGACCACGGGGACGGCAGCAGCGATTGAGAGGCGGCCACTAACCTGGCAACAAGAGGCCTAGGCGGTCGCAATAAATGTCACAGGGCCTAGTCTGTCGAAATGCATTCTCTGTCATGGTTATTTAAAGGAAAAAATAAAACACCGCCGTCGGTCAACAAGTAATAACTGTCGATGCACTCTCAATCCAGACAAAAAGGAAAATGAGTGGTAACAAAACTAAAAAAAAGGGCGGTCTGTACGTGAGTAAGCGTACTCACTCCTTGAAGCTTCATAGACTACCCTAAATGGCGTCATGGATCGTGTCAATGAGATGAAAATATGCTTAACCAAATAGGTCTGTGTTGGGAAAATAATTAACGCCAGAGTTATGAGGTGGAAACACAGAGTGGAAAAGTGACGGGTCAGCGAGCCACATTAGTGAGGAGAATCGCACAAAAACGCCCAAATTGTTATTGGCAATGACCACCTGTTCTATTTGCCCACCTAATTTTTGACTCAGTAAAAGGTTGCGAAATTCAGATGGCAATTTGACCAGCATACGTCTGCTCTCCATAAATTCCCTTTAGACAATATGCGGGAAAATCTGTGAATTTTTATTAGCTCATGGACTTGTATATAGTTCATTGGCTAATACCATGATAACTTGTCAGTCGCTAAAATAGATTACAGTTTTCATAGACAAGATGTGCAAAATAAAGGTGACGAATAACATCTGATGGATATCAAAATTGCTCTTAAAAGTTCAGTATTGATTTCGCATGGTATCAGCCTTAACGAGATTTATGCCCTGATATATTGAAAACGAAGTCAAATAAAACCCCCACTTGTTGTATGTCTGAGCATAAAATCCGTATTCCTCAACGCACACCGAAAGGTTATTTCAGTACGGCACTTTTCAAGGAACTGAAGAGGTGGAGATAACCCGACGCGGAACTCTATAGGAGATCCGACCTAGGCGATAGCGATCTCGAAATTCTGAAAGGAGGGATTATATAAGTCCAAAGATTTTTCGCTGGAGTAAGCCTATAACCCTAACAGCTTAGGCACAATGGACGTCATGCCGTCCCGATTTGTACCCATACCCTTATGCAATCAATCCCGCGAACTGGGCAGAGGCTTGCATAAAGGACTGTTTAGGTCTTTCTTTATATGCGATGCTCAAGATCTCATTTCAAAAATCGACGATTTAAAAATGGAACCCAGATATCGTTGCCATAAGGTAAACGTGACCCAAATACGAAATCGCGGATACCTTATGCATGCTTTTTCGCAGAAGCCGTAAAAATAGATGGACTGGTGGGGTAGTCGTATATGTAAGGAGAGGAATTTCGCCACGTGAGCGAACTCACACCCTCTCCTTTAATACAACTCCGTCTAGATAAAGATAATGAAGAGTAATTCGGAAAACCTCCAGCTCGTGACGGCTTACAGACGACTGAACTAGCCATGTTCAGCGGACGAGTCGCTCCCTCACTTGGTCAAGGAAATGGTTTGCCACGAATAGGTTTATATTTCTGAGGGTCTCAGTACACCCGCAATAGACTGAGACCCCCAGCATGTGATTTTCCTCTGGCACAGAATACAAAAACACCAACATGATTTTGATGGTATCGGAGAACTAACTTTCTGGCTTTGTTGTGATGAATTACTTTTCTAACTTTGACGAAGTTTATTCCAGTGAATCTCTCGGGAAGAGTGATCATACCGCACTCTCATGGAATTACTTGCTCTATTCGCAACGCCATCAGACAATGGAAGCCGAGTTTCAGTGTGATGAGTAACAAGGTGACGTCCGTGAACTGGGACAATCTGCTCACCAAGGGTCCTAAGCAGGGTCGGAAGTCATCTGATCGATCCCGCTGAATCTGATTCGATACTGTTGTCCAGCAAAAGCACCAAAAATATTAATCCTCTTGCCTCCTTAAGACAAGAACTTAGCTGAAATTTGAGGCGAAATATATCTTATATTCGTCCTCAACATCGATCTGCAATCGTCTATTTATCTGTGCAAGGCTTCCTACTTGCCAGCTTTTCTCCAAGATCTTCCTCTAAGACTACAACGGCCGAGAAGCTTTTTGCCCAACTTCATACTTGGCAATCTATCTATCCCAGCAATTTTCGCTGTCGTCAACGGAATGCTGGCAAAACACGGATCCGTCAGACAGGGAAGAGCCATGAATTCGAATTTTTCGGCAGGTTGAAGAGAATCAGAATTTTTTTCCTTTGCATTGATAGTTGAATAGTTAAGGCTGTTAATGACGCAGAAGTCGTTGAAAACGACGAAAAATCTGGACAGCCGGGTAGGTCCTTTGCTTCAGTATTCACTAGCCAAAATTATTTTCAGAATCACAATCTCAATAGTTGTGTTGCAAAGTCGGTCAAGTGCGTGAATCTATAACCCCTTAAGCAGCTGTCACCGAACGAGAGAAAAGAAATCTCAAAGAAGGTAAGTAATTGGGTGCGGATAACATATCGACAAGGTTCTTAGATGAATTGGCATATCTTCTGTTCTTCAATTGAGTTGAGGGGATGGCCATCCGAATAGAAGACAGAAAATGCCTACTCGATTTATAAATGCAGGGTTCGAACCAATGTGAATACGTACCGTCCCATAGGCTAGCCTGTACCTGCAGTGAACTAGCGCAAATCATGCTGAAGAAAGCAGCAATGAAGCTCCTGGAGGGGGACCATTTATTCTCAAGACTGATGCACGGTTTCAGGCAGAGCCGTTCATACTCTTTCAGTTTGTTTCTCTATACTGACCAGTTAACTAGTGCAATGGTCGACGTCATCCACACTGATTTCGAGAAGTCCTTAGACGGCATCTAATACAGATATCTAATCTACAAACCATCGGAAATTTGAATAAGAGGAGATTTGCTGACATAAAAGTCAGTCTTTCCTACAGGGAGATCTCAAACCGTATGCTTTTCTGCCTCGAATTCAAACCCTCTTCCGGTTTTACTGATAATCTCCAGGACCCGGTCTTTGGGTCGCTAATCTTCATAATCTACACCAACGACTGTATTGACAACATGGACTAATAATAATAATAATGATACTTAATGCCAGTTTACAGGTCTTGTCAAAGAACGATAAAGCCCGATCGAACTAACAGCGAAAAAACTCCTGAGGAGTAAATATATAGGATGGTGTTTCTGTATTCATTGAATGGTTCAGGAGTAAAAACAATTGCTGCCCGTGAAACGACGGTAGTCCAGAGATGAATGGGCGACATTGCGTCAAATATTTTCAGTCTCCATTACTTTTCATGAAGTTAGGACTGGACCAAACAAAGATACTGAAGAACAGTTGCTTGAAGCAAATGTTGCAGCAGCAGCAGAATCCGATGGAGGCTCTGACCGTCAAGCTATCCAATTCATCCATGGGCCAATCAAGCGCGGCTGGTGGTTCGCAATCTGTTGATCACATTGCCGGCAGCATCACCGAATTCTTGTATGACCCGCAGGCCCATAACACCTTTGATTCCTGGTACAAGCGATACGAGGACTTGTTCTCTGTCGATCTGGCTGCCCAGGACGATGCATGGAAGGTCCGACTTCTACTTCGCAAACTGGGTCCGGCTGAACACGAGCGTTATGCCAACTTCATCCTCCCCAAGAATCCCCGAGAAGTCACTTTCAAGGACACGGTTCAGACGTTGTCGCAGATTTTTGATGAACAATCATCCCTTTTCAACTCTCGATTTCAGTGCCTGCAAATGTGCAAACGAAATGCCGATGACTTCATCACGTATGCGGATATTGTCAATCGTGAGTTTGGGCGTTTACACTCGGTCCTCTCACTGAAGATCAGTTTAAATGCCTTATATTTATCTGAGGCCTCCAGTCCCCCAAGGATACTGATATTCGGACACGTCTCCTGTCCAAAGTGCAGCAGAACAACTCTACCACACTCAAAGAGCTGGCAGCAGAGTGCCAAACGCTGATCAACCTCAAGCACTACTCTGTACTGATTCAGAACCCTGCTTCATCTTTCTATGTCCATTTGGTCACATTGACCAAATCGCGGCCTAAGCAAGTGTCGAAGACGAGATCACCGCCATCCCCTTGTCGGTTCTGTGGCGCGTGGAATTTCCAACGGAATTGCACATTCCGCCAGTATCGCTGCCAAAGCTGTAATCAGGTGGGACACCGTGATGGGTTCTGCAAATCAGTACCAGCTTCTGGGGACAAGCCAATCCCCGCCATTCCTTATTCCAGACACCGTTTCCGGCCAGAACGCAAGCCCAAACACCAGTCCGTTGGTAATTCTCTCAGTCTCTTGGCTGCTTCCCAGCTCATTGCGTCTGGTCGTAGAAAATTTGTTGACGTTTTGCTCAATGGCCATGCAGTTTGCCAACAGTTAGATACAGCCTCAGATATCACTATCATCTCTGAGAGCCTCTGGCAGTCCCTTGGCAGCCACATGATGCAGCAGACTTCCAAGTCCGCCACAAGCGCGTGCGGTGGTCTCGTTCGGCTAATTTGGCAACTGCAATGCTGTGTGTCGTTCCGCGGTACCAGCATCACTGCAGTCTGCTACATCACCCAAGTCTGACCTCAACCTACTTGGTCTCGACTGGATTGAACAACTTGGGTTGGCCGGTATGCCGCTCCGAGTTGTTTGCAGTCAGGTGCAGAGTCCCGCTGTGCTTGCAGACCAAGCCAAAGACATTCTCCAACGGTTTGCCCCAGTGTTCCAAGACGTCCTGGGTAGTTGCGCATACAGTCAAGTCGTGCTACATCTGTCTCCTGGAAGTCAATCAGTCTTCCGTACAAAGCGACCAGTCTCATATGCAGCTCTACCACTTGTCGAGGCTGGACTGAAGCGTCTAGAGGAAATGGGAGTTCTGGTTCCTGTATCCTACTCCGCCTGGGCCGCTCCAATCATTGTGGTTAAGAAGCCCAGTGGCTCGATTCGCAGTTGTGCGGACTTCTCCACCGTTCTCAATGCAGCACTGACTCCGAACTGCTACCCATTGCTGGTTCCGGCTGATCTTTTCACCCTGCTAAATAGTGGCACTTGCTTTGTCTAGTTGGACCTCGCTGATGCGAATCTGCAGATCGAGGTCGCCCCAGAGTCGCGCGAATTGTTGAACATCAATACCCATTGCGGTCTGTTCCAACATACCAGACTGTCCTTTGGTGTCTAGACCGACACGGCCCTATTCCAACAAACGATGAACGCAATGCTCTCCGGCATCCCTGGTACAGCTGGCTACCTAGACGACATCATCGTGGGTCGCTCCCCTGCCGAGCTGGAAGACCGAGTGTGCGCAGTACTCGAACGCGTGCAGGAATATGGCTTTCGCCTACGGGTCGACAAGTGTCTATTCTTCCTCGACTCCAGCAAGTACCTCGGATTCGTTTTTGACGTCATTGGTCGCCCTCCAGATCCTGAAAACATTTGGGCCCTCCAGAGGATGCCTGCACCCAAGAATGTATCGCAACTTCGTTCGTTCCTTGGCCTGATCAGCTACTATAGCGCCTTCCTACCATCGCTGCATGATGTACGGGCCCCTCTCAACCGTCTCTTGCAGAAGGATGCTTCCTGGTGCTGGTCCCCCGTCTGTGAAAAGGCCTTGCCCAGCTAAAGTCGATGCTGAGTTCAGATCTGCTGCTCACGCACTACGACCCGACGCTGCCGATCGTTGTTGCTGCAGATGCTTCCAACCACGGAGTTGGTGCCGTCATCTCACATACTTTTCCTGATGGGTCTGAAAAGGCGATCATGCATGCATCTCGCACGCTAACCCCTGCGGAGAAGAACTACGGGCAGATAGAGCAAGAGGCTCTAGCCCTCGTGTTTGCCGTCAAGAAATTTCAAAAACTGTTGTATGGTCGCCACTTCACGTTGTTGACGGACCACAAACCATTGCTGTCAATGTTCGGTTCGAAGAAGGACACTCCCATCTACTCAGCCAGCCGACTTCAGCGATGGGCAACCATCCTTCTTGATTGCGATTTCGACATTCGTTACCGTTGTACTACAGACTTTGGTCAGGCTGACGCCCTTACTCGCCTCATCAGTAATCAGCAGGAAGCGGAGGAAGATACCGTGATTGTCGCTATTCCGATTGAGGACGATGTGCGCCGTCGGCTATCGGACTCCATACGAGGTATCCCTGTCACTGTCGCGGACATCCGACGCGCTACTGAACAGGATCCTGTCCTCCGTCAGGCCATCACCTACGTGCAGACCTGCTGGCCAACCAATGCTCTCGCTGGTGAGCTTCGTCAGCTCTTCCTCCGCCGAGCATCGCTATCTGTGGTTGACTCCTGCCTCATGTTTGCGGACCGTGTGGTGATCCCATCTTCCTTCCGACCCGCTGTACTACGCCAGTTCCATGCCGCTCATCCTGGCACCAGTCGAACGAAGTCAATTGCTCACAGTTTTGCTTACTGGTCGGGTATCGACGGCAATATCGACGACCTGGTTCGATGCTGTTCTCGATGTCAGCAAGCTGCCAAGATGCCGCCTCGTCAACCTCCAATACCCTGGCAACCACCGGAGAGGCCTTGGTCACGCGTGCATATCGACTTTGCTGGCCCACTTAACGGAGTCTCCTACCTAATCTTGGTTGACGCCTACTCGAAGTGGCCCGAGATTGCTCCGCCGAATCCAGCAAGAGCATCTGCCGCTATCGCCTTCCTACGACGCATCTTTAACCATCATGGCTTACCAGAAGTCCTGGTTTCAGATAATGGCTCTCAGTTTACCTCGACGTTTGAGGATTTCTACCGTCAGCACAACATCCAGCATCTTCGCTCGCCGCCCTACCATCCTCAGTCTAACGGTCAGGCGGAGCGTTTTGTCGACACGTTTAAGAGAGCCCTCTTGAAAGCTCGTGGGTAGGGGACCACGGACGAGATAGTCCAGGCGTTCCTGTTTTCCTGCAGGACAACACCGAACCCGGCGTCCCCTGGTGGCGTTTCTCCTGCCGAAGCGTTGATGGGCCGAAAACTGCGTACAACATTTCATGCACTCGTCCCTACCGATGCGCAGTCCGCGCAGACTTCTCCAGTCTCTCGCAGCAAGCTCTCCATCGGAACACCTGTCTTCGTTCGTGATTATCGAGCGGGGTTCCCAGACTGAATTGAAGCAACCGTAGTAGCTCACAGAGGCAGTATGTTGTTTGACGTCGACGTTGGTGATGACATCTGGATTCGCCACCACAAGCAGATCCTACGGCAACACTGCAGTAACGCAACTGGGCTCGAGTCAGCGCCGTCACTCCCCTTTAACATCCTGCTGGATACCATCGCCATTCCGGCCGATCGGTCGGTTCCCAAAACCACTGCAGCGACCCCTTCGGATATACCACCTTCGGCATCAGTAATCGCTCCCGTGTCTCCAGGCTATAAACCACGACTAAGACGCCGGACCAACCGCGTGCGCCGATCAACACGACTGATGCAGGTCAACTCACGCCAGAGCTGTCGGGAGTGCCAAAACATCCAAAAACAAGAGCCAGCCAATCACGGGAGGCCACGTGCTTTTTATCTACTGCGCTGCCATCTTAATCGTGGCGTCTATCCATTGGCTTTTCCTCTCGGGCCTGACCGATCTGCATATTGAATTATCGACCGGCTCATCTGGAATATTTTCCCCGAAGAGCATTGGGCCGAATGCCGGCGAAGCACAGTAGAGCTTTATAAATATGCACTACTTCCAGTTAATTTTAACTTGCAATTTCCTAATACACATTTTTGTGGATGGTTGCGTTCTCATTCTCTACCGCATTGGTATTGGGGACAAGGGTCGAGTGCGTATACGCTCCGCGGGATTTCCAGTACCAGGCGAGTCATAAAAGTATTACCGGTTAGGCCTGACTTACGTTTTAAAAAGGTGCATTCTAATATCATTCGTTTAAAATTACGGAGGATAAACCTGATGGAAATGCGTGCTTTGGAGACCATCAGGACGCAGTGTTCCGAAGAATAAGATTTTTCAAGTCTGATACAAACAGATCCTTAATAACAACAGGCACATTAAAGTCCTCAAAGTCAATACACATTTGGGTGAACAGACGAGTCCAAGGAAGCAGTTTTGAAGAAGAAGACAAGATCGCTGGGACAAGAGCTTTATTAGCCTGACGTTTCGGATTCCTGCTCGAATCCATCATCAGAGACACAAGCAGATAAGGGTGGTTCATGCACATGCGGCTGCAGTATTTATAGGATGCAGTAGCCATGCTACCGCATACCTATGAATACTCACGGCCCCCTCCCCTTCATCAGGGATCGTTGCACGTGGCGTGATGGCCGACATTCGCGTCGTTAATTGCTGCAATTTCATCACGTGCGTTTGATGTTGGTGTGATGATTGCTCGACCATCTGACGCGCTGACCCGGATGTTGGGAAGAGTGTTCACCAGCGCGCTCCCCGCGTGGCCAATTACTCCGCCTAGACGAAGTCTCAGCACGCTGTATTGAATGGGAAGATCATTGCCTTGTTAATAGACTGGGGGCCAGTAAACCATGACTCAAGCAGCTCCCGGCTCACGCGGTTGTCACCTCTTGCGAGAATTTCGGCCTCGTCAAATTTGAATGTGTGGCCGGAACCCGTCGAATGAGTCGCAACTTGAGAGCTGACGTCATTTCTCTGCACCTCTGCAGCGTGTTCGGCTATTCGCGTTCGGAGCTGTCCTCCGGTTTCTCCGACGTAGTTGATTTGTCCGCAACTGCACCAGATCCGATAAACGACTCCGGACGTTTCTTGCCGTGGCAGTGGGTCTTTTGGTTTCATCAACTGACGCCTGATGGTTGCCTCCGGCCTGTGTGCAACTCCAACCCCAAGTGGTGCGAGAAGGCGGCCAACAGTTTCCAAAACGTTCTTGACATATGGAAGCGCTCGCCAAACTTTGATGTTCGTGCGGTTAGGCCTTTCGTCCCTTTTGCGTATGCACCGGTTGACGAAGTTGCGCGGGTAGCCATTGGCTTTGAAGACCCCTCGGAGTTATTGTAGTTCGACAATCTTGTCTTCCGGCTCACTGCAGTGCGTTTCGACACGCCGATAGAGCGTCCTTACACAACTGCGTTTGTGACTGATTGGGTGATTGTTGTTGAAGTTCAGTACTTGCATCGTATTTGTCGCTTTCCTGAACACTTTGGTCTTTAGTCCACCACAATCCTTGCGACAGACGAGGGCATCCAGGAAGGCCAGTTGGTTGTTCTCTTCCTCCTTCATCGTAAATTGTATGTCCGGGAAGACACTGCCGAGACGTTCTTTGAACGTTAACACCTGATCCCGTTCGATGACGACGAAGGTGTCATTCACATACCGGACCCAGAATTTCGGTCTGTGGTGTTGGAAGACCAGCGACTCTAACCGTTGCAGGACCGCCTCGACGATGAATCCCGAAATCGGCGAGCCCATTGGTGTCCCCTTCACTTGCTCGTAGATTGTTCCGTCAAACGTGAAGTACGTCCTGAGACAGAACTTTAGGAGCTGAAGGACTGGGTGACGTCCAAGACGATTCTCCGTTTCATCGTATTTGCTTCGTAGGAGTAGCTCGACGGTCATGATTGCCTGATCCTTGGGAAAAGAAGTAAAGAAGGACGTGACATCAAAAGATACCAGGACCTCATTTAGATGGAGGCTTACCCCTTTGAGTTTCTCCAGGAATTCTGCTGACGAAGAGACCGTGGTGTCTGAATCAGCGGTCAGAAATTTGAGGCGCCGAAATCGGCGCACATATCGGTGTTATTGCTCTTAGCAGCAGCATGATGAAAAAGATAAATATGCTGGATCCTTTGCGCTTTTATCGACAGGATAATAACTCTCTGATGACCGACATGGATTTCGCAGTAGCAGTTCTTGCGTGAAGAACTTCTTCTTTTTATAACGTTTGGCCCGGGCAGTCGATGGTGGGAATACTGTGCATGTAGAACTTGCCAACTTAATAAAACTTTCGGCAATGTACTGCATCATCGGACCCCGTATTAACTCGCTCGAAAAGGTGTTGTTGGTAATCTTCTAGGATTGGTTCAGAGCTTCTTAATCAGTCACTCTCACGCTGTCCGCGTTCCTGGTCTGCGGCTGCTCGCTAAGTGCGTCGATGGGTGCATAAACCAACCGGATCACGGTGTCGCCATGCTTGCTGATGAGATAAAGCTTTAGAGCTTCCTCCACAACGAAACTGACGAGGACATCGTCAGGCAGATCTAGACGGACTCGAGCAATGGCCGTGTCATTGTCTCTTGGAGTTCAATGCGAGCAGAAGTGAAACATTCTGTTGGTCGGCGGAGACAGAACTTCCAACCACAGGGTTTGCCGACTAAATGGTCTGCTGATATAAGAAGCAGACGCTCAGGTGGACTTGGGCGTGTGGATCACAACTTTACAGAAACCACTGCTATGCTGCCAAAATTTAACGAAGTCCGCAATGTCAATCCTGTACCTCATCAAGCGAACTTTCGTAAGATTTGCTGAAGTGTGTTTCGCTAAAGCTATTGGAACGTTTGTTGTGCCGAAACAGGAGCTCTCTATTCGAGCCTGGAGGTTTTGGGCCGCTAAGGACTGCAGAACCTCAAAAACGTCCTGACGTGTGCAACCACATCGTTCAACGTATGCGGCGCACATCTGTCTAATCCTGATCTTTTCCCTCTGATTTACACACAACTACGACGTAACCTAATGCAAAATCTTCGCATTATGTGCGATCGGGAGCCGGTGACTGCGAGTTTGCAACCAAACCAAGCCTGGTCTAACTACTCACGACTGGGACGAGAAAACCGCCTAAATAACGTTCCGCAACTGCGTCGTTAAAAATCCCATTCTGGCGTACTGGGGAAAAGCCCGCTAGATGCATCCTGAAAGATTTGGCTGCTCTCTAAGAATGAAGGATCACTAAAAAAGGACGATTGAATTTAGGAACCCTCTGTCTGCGGATGTTGTTATATCCACATCTACAGAGGCTTTTAAGTGGGAGCCTGGCCAATATGACATTGTACACCACAAAGTCATTGGCGGGTCAAAATGCGGGCCCCCTTCCAGACCAGTTTTCTTGACACCTTATGTTAAAATCTGTTGATATTTGTCATACTACCACATTGTTGATTTATGACATGTATTAACCACATCCACCTCGGTATGCTAAAAAACTTACATACATTGTTCCTTGGTGATCAAATACATAATACTGCTTTTTTTAGCATGCGTGGGCCTGAAATGGCTACTGGCTAGATCCTAGTTGGTAGCCCGGACCCGCATTACATGTGGCTGGGGGGTTTGTTTACTGGGGTTATTTTGTGGGGCTCCATAATCACATCTGACACATTTGGCTTCCGTTTTACGTTTGAGGTTAGGATTAGGGTACCGGTTAATGGTTTCCGATTTTCCGGTTAGGGTTATGCCTTTAGGCTTAGGTTTTCGGGTTATGGTTAGAGTTTGAGCGTACGACTAGGTTCTAGTATTACGGTTAGGCTTCTCAATTACGGCTATGTCTAAGGGCTACGGTAAAGTTTACGATTTTGACTAGGGTTAGGGTTAGGGTTGCCGTTGGGGTTAACGGTACCGGTTGAGGTTAGGGCTAGGGTTAAGGTTGGGATTATGGTTAAGGTAGCCGTCCGCTTCCGATTCCGGGTTACCAACTGCGATTTAGCCTGGCTACTGTTCTACGAACTAAGTAGTGCGCTTTAAGGCTGTTCATACTACTAACGTTTACAACGTTGGGTTTTTGCATGATTTTGACGTTCTTTCTGCATGTGTTTCACGTCGACTTCCTAACTTTTGCTTGTCGTTAATTGTACAAGAAGGCAGTCAAAAGATGCACGCTTATAGATCCTTCAGGTAGACTAAACTGAACTTGTCAGCACACATCAAACGAGTACAGCTTGACGTTCCCATTGTGT